CATGGTGTAGAAATGGAGAGGGAAGGGTGGAGGCGATGGATGCTGCGCGTAGAAGCCCGTCGCGGACCCATCTCTCTCTCTGACGACCGTACAAGGGGAAGAGGCCTGCCGCATAAGTGTTGGTTTTTTTGCGTTGTACGCAGGCTCCCTCTCTTGTCGTCCCGTCCTGGGTCCCGCTCTCCCTCTGTCCCCCATCCCCCCTTTGCCCTGCTTCTCCCCTCTGTTCACCGGCATCCACCCCTTTCCTTCCCTTCCGGTCGAATTTCTTTCTATCTTCAGAATCTCAAGCCGCCGCCTACGAGTTCACCACGCTCACGTGCATACCGGGCAACATTATCTACAACGACACCAAGATTCAACTGCTCGACCTGCCGGGTAGGGCCTTAGTCCGGTCTGGGAGGATTCAGGGCGGGCACTTCATCTCTTTGCGCGTTTTTTCACCCACGTCCTCCTGGCATGGGGAGGGGGTTCTCACACGCTGTCGCTTGTGCCAACGCCACACGGATGAGGATGGTCCCTGTCGCCAAGACACAGAATCGCCCACTGTCATCCCTCCCTCCCCGCTCCCTCCCCCCCTCCCTTGCTTTCTCTTCCCCCTTCAGGAATCATCGAAGGCGCAGCGCACGGGAAAGGGCGTGGGAAGGAAGTGATTGCCGTGGCCCGCTCCTCGGACCTCGTTCTCATGGTCCTGGACGGAGGCAAGGAGCAAGTCAACAACCACCGTGCCATCCTCGAGCGGGAACTCGAGACAGTGGGGCTCCGGCTGAACAAGAAACCGCCCAACATTTATTTTAGAAAGAAGAAAGACGGTGGGGTCAAGTTTAACTCGACGGTGAGAGGGAAAGCTGTTAGAGTATTGGTGGCGAAAAGGTCCGGGTAGCCGGGAGGGTACCTTCCAGGGCTCTCCACCAGGTCCTGTGCACGCAATCCTGGCGCCAACGCCCCCACGTTCTGAACAAAAAGCCCCCGCAATCCCCCATGATCCTCTTACCCAGGTGCCGCTCACACAGCTGGGGCCCGACCCGGCCTTGACCGTCGGGCGCATCCTCTATGAATACAAGATCCACAACTGCGAGATGCTCCTGCGGGAGGACGTCTCCACGGACCAAGTCATCGACGTGATCGAGGGCAATCGGTAGGTTTTCCCTTGTCCTTCTGGAAGTGCCGCGGACCCCGCCGGACGCGGGTGGCACCTCTTCAGGCCCTTTCCGGCCGCGGAGTGGTTTCCATTTTCATCCCTTCGCGCACTCTTGGAGTGCCTTTGCGTGTCTCCTTTGGTTCCCGTCTGCTGGCTTTCCTTCCCTTGCTCCCCGCTCTGCGACTTCCCCTACGGCTGAGTCCACTCCTTTCCTTCCCTTCCCAGGAAATACGTCAGGTGCCTGTACGCCTACAACAAGATCGATACCATCACCATCGAGGACGTGGACAGGCTGGCTCGGGAGCCTGACGCCATCGTCATCTCCGTCCGCCACAAGCTCAACCTGGAGGTGAGCCCGAGGAAGAGGCGGGAAAAGGGGCCTCCATGGGGGTCGTCGGCCCCTTTTTTCCCCCATTTCCTCCCTGAGTCATTCGATCTCCCGTCTTCCTCACGCCTCCCAGCGCCTCCTCGAACGCATGTGGGACTACATGGGGCTAATCCGCGTCTACACGAAACGGCGAGGCGCCCCCCCCGAGTTCAAAGAGCCGCTCGTCATGTCCAGTGAGAGGAGAGGAGTGACTGTGGAAGTGGCTTGCGAGAATATCTCCCGAGGTGAGTACCGCGTCGAGCCTGCGCATACCTTGGACTGGACTTGGCGCTTCCAGCGACGCCTCCCCAGGCCGTGTGTGTGGAGACGTCCGGTAGCATTGGGATGTCTCACGCCCTGTCACTTGCCCTCTGTACCTGTTCACGTGTTGTCTCTCTTAAGGAAGCCTTGGAATGCATAGTCTCACGCCCTGTCACTTGCCCTCTGTACCTGTTCACGTGTCAACAGAGCTTTCTGAAATATTCAACTACGCCTTGGTCTGGGGTCGTAGCACAAAATATGACCCGCAACGCTGCGGCTTGCAGCATACATTGGAGGATGAGGACGTTGTACAGGTGGTGGGTAAGACAGTGACGCAGCAAAAACGCGAGAAGGGGTATTCCAAGAAGGTCCAGGAGCATTGGGACGCGTTGAAAGCGAAGAAGAAAAAGGCTGCGCTGCGCTCGTAATGAAACCAGACGACGTTGCTTTTACAGCATGGAAAAGTCGTAAAGTCGTAACGCGAAAAGTAAATTTCCCGACAATCTAATCACAAAAAAGAGTGCTGGTAGAGATGTTCCTAGCAACATAGGTGGTATGGCTTGGAGTGGCGGGGAGGGGATGGTAAAATAATTTCTTTGTGCTTCCGTGATTTTCGTCGTTTGGCCCGTACAATTCGCACGTAGACTGGTTCATTCATGTGTGAGGCCTTGTGATCTTTCGTCTGGAAGGAATTTTATTATCTCCTGCTTCCCGCATCTCGAACGTCACGGGCCTCGCGAAGGAGAGCAATCAGAGGACCGGAGTCCTCGTCCGTGTGCCGGCCGGTGCATTTGCTGCCCGAATAAGTCGGTCGCATACGACTGTCCTTTTTCACATGGAATGTCTCCTGGATGATATCTCACGGTTCGATGCCGTTGTACGAACACAGGTACCATTGTCAGTGCTGTCCTAGCCAGTAGACGGCCCAGGGTGGAGCTTGGGCTTGAGAAGCACGAGATCCTTGTTGCCTTCTTGGGAAAGTCGAAGTAGCTCGAATAACCTCACACGCAGTGAGTAAGCCGCTCCACCGTCATGTCCAGAACCCACGTTGCTTCGAAATTGCTACGAGGGGTAGCTCTGACATCGTGTCTCAGAGGAGGAGGAGCAAGATCCTCCCCATTCCTTTCCGCCTCGTCAGTCGCCTCAGGGAGTGCTTTTGTTCGCGGGCGTACTTCCCTTTCGAGAATAGCCACGATCCGAGAGGGAAGAATTCCACAAGAGGGGGGAAAAGCGCGCCAAATGCAACATAGGAAGGCGCGGGCTTCCACCATGGCAGCAGCGACGACTTCGAAGCTCAGCTCGATGGAGGTAGAGCACGGGCAGGTTCATGAGCATCCATCCCAGGTGCCAATCCCTCCAGCCTCTGCATCGAACGCACCCACGAGCATTGATTCCTCTTCTCGAGACAAGAGCAAGAGTGAAGTGCCGCCCACCATCCCTCCGTCTCCACCGCCCGCCGAGTCCTTCCCCCGTCCCTCCTCCCCCCCTCGGCGTCCCCGGGCCGCCCCTCTTCAACTGACTGAGCGGGCCGTGTCCCGCATTAAAGAGCTGCTTGCCTCGAAAGGTCCGTCCGTCATAGGTGTCCGACTTGGGACGAAGCGCCGTGGGTGCAATGGGTTGTCGTACACGATGAATTACGCGGAGACGCGACCGAAGTTTGATGAGGAAGTGCAGGTGGGCGGAGTCACGGTTTTTGTCGAGCCCTCCGCCTTGATGCACGTGGTGGGCACCGAGATGGACTACGAGGAGACGGAGCTCTCCAGGGAGTTCACCTTCAACAACCCCAATGCCAAGGGCCAGTGTGGCTGCGGGGAGAGTTTCAATGTGTAGCGCGGGGGGGGGGG